CCACTGAGGTCCTAGTCCACTGAGGTCCTAGTCCACTGAGGTCCTAGCCACTGAGGTCCTAGTCCACTGAAGTCCTAGTCCACTGAGGTCCAAGCCACTGAGGTCCTAGTCCACTGAGGTCCTAGTCCACTGAGGTCCCAGCCACTGAGGTCCCAGCCACTGAGGTCCCAGCCACTGAGGTCCTAGTCCACTGAGATCCTGGCCACTGAGGTCCTAGTCCACTGAGGTCCTAGTCCACTGAGGTCCTAGTCCACTGAGGTCCCAGCCACTGAGGTCTCAGCCACTGAGGTCCTAGTCCACTGAGGTCCCCGCCTTGAGGTCCCAGTCACTGAGGTCCTAGTCCACTGAGGTCCTAGTCCACTGAGATCCCAGTCCTGAGGTCCTGGCCACTGAGGTCCCAGTCACTGAGGTCCCAGCCACTCAGGACCCAGCCACTCAGGGACCAGCCCACGGGGACCCAGCCACTCATGCCAGGCGGCACTAGTGGCTGCAGACACCCGGGAGCCTGGCCGACTGGGAGAGGAGACCCTCCTAGACAGGGTCTTCCGGTGCACGGCCCTCACTGTAGACTGGCCCTTGGGTGTGCTCCGTGCTTGGAGCCCACTCACCACCGATGCGAGTTCCCTGCAGAACCTCACCTGAGAAGTCCCAGCCAGGCTGCTTGCACGTGGGTGTGTGCCTGGGGGTCCCACGTGCACTGGAAAGGACAGAATGGGTCCGAAGTTCACTCTCCGAGATTGGCTCCCTGGGGCTCTCTGTGCGTCTGCTCCGGCACCAGGACCTTGTCCCTGAACGGCAGTCACTCCATCTCCCAGGAGTGACGTCCAGTCCCGTGCTGCCCAGGGAGGCAGGTGCACAGAGCCCGTCCACCTGCCTCTCCCCATGCAGCAGGCCTTCAGCTGGCGGGCTTGCGAGGGGCTTCCCAGGGGCTCGCTCCTCCAGCAGGTCTGCTGGCTGCTCTGCCCGGGGGGTCACCTTCCAGGCCAGGGACACCCCGTGGCCAGGGTCTCCTCAGGGGCTCTCGTGGCCCATCCCCAGAACCTGGGTTCTGGCCACCGGCAGTCCCTCCTGGAGAGGGCCCAACTAGACCCATGGGGTTGCATGAGTCTGAGGTGGTGCAACCCGGGCAGTGAGGGTCACTGGTCCAAGTGCAGGGTGGCGGCTCTTGAAGGTCCTCACACGTAACACCTGGGACACGGTACCAGCCGGGGCGTCTCTATCAAGCATTGCTGGGGAGTGCAGGGGCACTGCCAGCCCCCACCCTGTTAAGTCACCCTAGGGACGCCCTGGGAGGGACAGCACGGAACCCCACCAAAGAGCCACCAGGGCAGAGGAGCAGCCCTCCAACACTCCCCAGAGAGGGTCGACGGTGTGTCAGGGGGAAGGAGGTGGCAGGGGACCGCTGTTCCCTGTGGGTGGAACCTGCGTATTGAATCAGCCAGCCCAAGGGGCAATTACGGGCAGCCGGGGGGTGGCACCTCATGTGGCCCAGGAGGGTCCAAGCCCCCGCCTCACACGCACCGCGGCCTTTCATCTCCACCAGGCCGGCCCTAATCATCAGATTCCGCTTCATTCTTAATCCTTATTTTCTTTAAAAAAATGGATTAGGCAAATCTCATCTGGAAAATTAATTAATGTATGAATTCAACAAATATTTACTGAGCACAGCGCTTTGTGAAGTATTTATTTCCATGTAATCTCCTGCGTCCCGGCCACTGATTATTTTTTCCTTTTCCTTTCAGGTTTCTGGCCGGTCCCTGTCTGCGTCTGACGGTTTTGACGCCGATTTTTTTCTAACTCGGCCATTAAGGTCTGTTCCTTTCCCCGGCCACCGGCCACAATAAGTCCATGTTCCACCTCGAAATTCCACGTGGTACAAATCGAGTGACCTGATAGAAGGCTGGGGGGCAGGTCCCCTTGGCTGGCAAGCCCGGGGGACCCGGGGGGACGCGGGGGGCTCCACCGAGCCCCCGGGCCGTGCTGGCGATTGTCTGCGGCAGTTCCCACTGCCCGTCCTGGGGTGGCATTCAATGGCTGGTTCCCTTCTGGGCCTGTCACTGGCTGTAGGTAAGTCTGTCCTCAGGAGCGCCCCGCCCCCAGCCACACAAAAGTGAGCCTGCCTGCGATCCAGAAAGGGACAGGGGCCTTTCATGGGCTTGAATGGGGCCTTCATTTCCCCTCCCTTCTTTACCTCATTCAGGGGGCTCTGACTTGGGCTAATTCGATCACAATCCTGCCGGGCCTTCTCAGCTCCCCGTTCCGGAGCACATTGTCCAGGCGCGGCGGCCCCCCCACACCGGGGTCCCACTCTCCAATTAGCCAACCGCTGGGCCGTCCCCCCACTCCTTTCCTGCCTGCCCGCCTGTTTTTTAACTATTTCCTTTTTGAATTAGCTGTCCAAGGGCCTTCAAGGGCAAGCATCCCCCTGCAGCGGGTCAGCAGGCCCCGGGGGCCGTCAGCACAGTGACCACATAGCTCTGCAGGTCAACTGGCTTCTGAAAGTCAGCACCAGCCCCCCCAAGACACGGAGGGTCACCAAGAACAAATGGCCCTGCCTCGACGTCCCCACACCTCGACGCAGGCGGTTCTGGATGGGCAGGTCTCCCAGGAATCCTGGGCACTCCAGGCGGTGACGGTGCTGGGGGACGCCGTCCTAGATGACCCCGGTCCTCTTGCCGCCTCAGGACGGGAGGGAGGGAGGGCAGTTGGGGTTCTTGGCTTCCTTTGGCCTGAAGAGTTCAGGCCACACCATTTCCCCCAAACCCAGTTCTCCTGCCTAAATCAGAAGTTTGAAAAGCCGGTGGGTGGCAGGCTCAAGCCCAGTCTCCCGTAGACCCCGACTGCACACCCCACAGGGCACTGAGGGCCGAGCAAGTCTGCGTGGCCATGTCCATGCAGATGGGTATTTCACTGCTGTTAGCACCCAATGAGAAATACTGGGAGTGTCCCAAAATGCAAACCCTAGCGAGCGCCTTGCTGTTCCGACCTGGGTGGCCCCACGCACAGCTGCCTGCTTACCTCTGTGGCTTTAGCCCATCCCCGTGTTCACTGCCCACACCACAGGAGGCCAGGAAGGGGACGTCTGGATGCAGGACACACAGGACGGCCATGTGAGGATGAAGCCAGAGGCCCCATGGGGTACACAACACGCCCAAGACCCGGCCCAAGGTTTCCAGCAGCCACAGGTGGGAGAGAGGGTGGTCAGCCTGGGCCTCGAGGGCACTCGGCCACTTGACCTCAGACACAGGTCTGCAGTGGCTTCTGCCTCCCTCGGTGGCCGGTGCTGTGCTGCTTCCCCCCCACGTGGAGGGTGTGGAAACCGCCGTGGAAGGAGAGCCCGCAGGGTGCCCGCTCCGCTGCCGGCTGTTCTGTGAGAAGGAGCTCGGGGCGCCTCCCGCCTCGGTCCGGAGGAGCCGCGGGCAGCCTGTGTTGACCGCCACCTGGTCGGGGAGGAGGACAGCCCCCTGGTGGGGCACGGCTGTCCCCCACAACGCTTTTTCCTCCAGATTAATCCAGGGGGACTCCTGGTTCCCCATCCTCACACCTCTGAAATAGCAGGGCTCCGGCGACACGTGGAGCTGGGACTCGACTTGAGGACAGTTCGTTTCCAACCTCGAACACGTGGAGGACTGCCTCAGACAGGGCAGTGGCTGGCTGGGGATCTCAGCGGCGTTTCCAGAGCTGGGGTCTTGCCATCATCCTCTGGCCGTGGCCCGGGACCCTGCCTCTGTGACTGAGATTCTTGAAAACCTGGACATTGCTTTTTAAAAAACCCCATAGAACAATCTGATGTTTAAAAGGAACCAATAAAAAGAGCCCACCGTGTCCACATGGTCCCTCACCGTCCGCTGCCACGGGGCATATGCAATGCAGTCTGGGTGATTAAAATGCAAAACCCCAGGGTTCTTGAGGAGAGCCCTAAAGGGGACGGGTTATAATCAAGAGTCCCCGAACTACCCTAAGCCACCCCCCCTCTCAGCAGAGCGGTGGCCGGGCCTCTCCCAGGAAGTGCCCTCGCCCCTGAGGCCAATTCCGCTGAATGGCCCTTCAACGTCAGCCCCAGAGGACAGTGGGCCTCCTTCCCTGTGACTGTCCCCTGCCTCAGGGACATGTGTTGAGCAGGTGTGGCTGGTCTCGGCATGAAGGCCCAGCTGGAGCCCCCGGGAGGCAGGGTGATCAGCACCTTGGCCCCAGTGTCACCAGGCAGCCACACACTCAGGGTGCACACAGAAGAGGGTGGGAGAGGCTGGCCTGGAGGACCAGCAGGAGGGCAGGCAGGGTCTGTGGGTCACCACCGTCCCTGCCCCGAGGACCCACACGGTGGGACGTGGACGTGGCTGGGAGTCCTGACCCGCTGTTCCCTCAGGTGGACTGAGTCCTTTGGGGGGCCCTGGGCTGCCCCACCCAGTCCTTCTGCCCCATCCAGAATCTCCAATGACCACCACTGAGTCCAGATCTCCCTGGAAATAATCCCCAGGAGCACGGGCTCAGAGCGGAGAGGAGGCGCCCTCCAGCACGGAGCCCCCTCCGTCAGCCGGCCCCCACGGAAGGCCTGCAGCACCCGCCTTCATCCGGCCCTCAAGTGAGCCACGTTAGGGTCTCCTGATGACGCGGATTCCCAGGAAAACGTGTCATGCTCCAGCAGCAGGTCCCTGATCCTGCTAGTGGAGCAGGAAGATGGCTCCAAGTGCAGAACAGAGGGGCGTCCTCCGTCCTGCTCAGGTGACAACAGCCAGCTCTGCAGCCAGAGCTCGGAGCCCCACCTCCCTCCGCCACCCCCAAGGCTTTGGTTGCTCCAGGTGGCCTTCCCGAGACCCCAACCCCACTGTGTGTGACCCTCACGGCTTTCAGGGTCTCTGTGGTCCTCCTCCACCTCTGCCTCTGCCTCTGCCTCCTCTTCCTCCTCCTCCTCCTCGTGCTCCACTTCCTCCCCCTTTTCCTCCTCCCCCTCCCCCCTGCTGTCCCCCCTCCGTCCCCTCTGCACGCTTGGCTGGGGGTGAAGATCTTGTCAAGTGGAAGTCAAAATCAGAGATGCCCAGATGGTTTCTCCTCCAGATCCAACCAGGCCAGCTAAGTGAAGGTCAAGGTCTCACCTCCTCCACAGGTTCTGGAGAGCCAGGCTCATGGCTGGGACGCTGGACCTGTGCCTCAGGCCCCACCGTTGACCTCAAGATCGACACATTGACTCTAGGTCTGCAGGAAAGCCCTGACCGTAGGCCTGGCAGTCCACGGCTTCCTGGGGGCAAGCGGCTTGTGCAGGACCACGGCAGAGTCCCTCCTCCTCCTCCTCCAGGGCCCACAGCCCTCTGCCTGGGCCTGGACTCGGCTGGGTGAGGGTCACACTGCCTCCCAGGGCCTGGGCCGGCCCAGGATGGGCTCTCTCCTGGAAGCCATCCACCTCAGCAGAGACAAGTCAGGAGGGGCCCCCTTCCACCTGGGGTGTCTCCCAGGCTCCTCCTCCCCAGCCAGACCCTGGGGGTCTGGGACAGCGGAGTTTCCTGTGTAGGAAGAGGGGAGACACAGCTGTCCTTCAGGGGCGACCAGGGTGCGGTCACATTAAAGCTTCGGGCTGGAGAGAGGGCCAGCCAAGGTCCATCCGAGAAGACAGCTCGGGGCATGTGGTGGTGTGGGCAGGTGTCCAGGGCCAACAGACGCTGTGCCCTGCCCCAGGCTCCGTGGAGACCCCTCAGAGAGGCCGAGGCCTGGGGCACCTACAGTGCAGCCGTCGCCCCTGGGCCTGGTTCCTGGGCTTCTTGGGCCTGTGGGTCTTGGGGTGCATGCAGCTTGTGAGACGTCCCTGCCGTGGGTGCCAGGGCAACTGGAGGCCCTGGAAATGTGATCTTGGTGGGTCAGGAAGCCTGAGCAGCCTCTGCCTTTCCTTCTGCTGAGGTTCCTGGTTCCCGGAGGGGCCACTAGGAAGGAGCCTGTGGGTCTCCCACAGCTACACTGTGAGCAGAGTTCCGCCGACCAGGGCCTCCGGGGCACGGCCCTGCCGCCATCGCTGCCTCCAGGTCCCAGCCTGGCTTGAGCCGTTCCCAGGGTTATTTCATCTCTCAGGAGGCCAGGAGAGGGCGTGGCCACCTCTCCCGGGCTCTGGGACCCTCCTGGGTGCACAGCTGGCGAGTCTGCCTGCCACCAGGCCCGCACCTACACTTCCCGAGGTGCCTGTCGAAAACGAGGAAGCAGCCAAGCATCCTAATCCCCCGCGCCCCCCACTCTTCCCAGCGCTCTCCCGGGCCTCTGCTGAGCACCAGGGCCGAAACGCAGGCTGATAAATTAGTCTAGAGGGAAACAAGGCCGCTTCTACTTGTAAAAGGTCATTTCGACTTTGTTCTGGGTGAGGGTTTATCTCAGCTGCCGCGGAGACAGACAATGCCTGGGGCCTAAATGGCAGAAATCTTAGCTCTGCTCGTGAAATTACTGTGCTGATAAGCAGAGTGGACTTCAGAGAGATCTAAATGGGGAAGGAGTGGATGTAGGTATTTCTGAACATGATTGAACAGGGATGGCACAATGGATGCACAGTTAACTGGGCATTAGCCCAAGGGAGAGGCGAGTCTGCGAGCCACACACAGGGTGGTTCCTGGGGCTGTAATCCCTGTCCCTGCCCTGCGCTGGCCGGCACAGGGGATGGGAGGACAAGGCCGGACACATCTCACCCCTGCACACAGTGGGGACGGCCTGAGGAGCCTCAGGGGCACCTGCTGAGCGCAGGAGGGGCTGGCAGTGAGGAAGGAGGAGCCTGGCTCAGAGCTGCTGGCCGGTGTCCCGGAGGCGGACCAGAGCCTCCTTCAGGCCATTTTATTCAGGTGTTTTCAAGGTGTGAAAGGCACCTCGGGGCACTGAGGGACAAACTGTCCATGTGTAGGGAGACCACAGGCTGCCAATCCCCCAAGGGCCTGCTTCGGGAACTCAGACTGACCTCTGGCCCTGGGGAAATGGCCCCGGGCGACCAGGCCGCCTGGGGGTGCTGCCTGTGTTCCAGGCCAACCCAGAGCACTCAGTGCCCCAGGCCGAGGGACACAGCAGGACAGCCACGGGAGCCCCCGCTGCCTCTGCAGCACGAAGGTCACCAGTGAAGATGGGCGACTGCAGGTGGACCATCCCGCCAGCCACTGCCCCTCAGCAGCTGGTGAGCTGCTGTGTCACGCTGGCCTTTGGCTGAGGCCAAGGTGGCTGAGACACGTAGGAGCACATTCCTACCCCGGGGTGATGGCCACAAGAATTCCCCTCTGATAAGCAGGCCAGGCCTGGCCGGGGCAGCGGCGGAATCTGCCGTCCTCTGCCTGCTAAGGAGCCCAGGGCCCGCGGCCCGGCCCATGTCCAGGGAGACCTTTTATGGCCTGGAACGCCGGGGGCTCTTGTCTGGCCTGTTGGCAGGGAGGGGGGCCCTCTAAGGGGCTGGACGGCTGGCATTGCTGGGGTTCCCCCGGGAGCTACTGGGCTAGTCACAACCCCACCCTCAGGAAGGCCACCCTCCTGGCCCATCTGCCCGCTGTGAAGCCTGCCCTTGGGAAATCACTCAGAACCAGACCATTTCAAGTACAGAGGCCAGCCGCCGCAGCTTCTCTGGCCTGAGTGATCTGGTGGCTCTCGGCTTCCCTCGGGGAGGCGCGGTGAGCCCAGAGGGCGTGGGTGCCCAGTGCCCAGCATCACAAGGCTAACCCCGAACGCCAGCCTGGCGCAGAGCCAGAGCTGAGTGGGGTCCCAGGTCGCGGCCCGGCCCACGCGGCACACTCCAGCCCCGATATCCCCGTTCCACGAGTGCACCAGGTCCCTCCAGGGCTGACGAGCCCTTGCTGACAGGGACAGGGGACACTGGAGGCAGTGGGACCTGCCTGTGCCCTCAGCCAGTGTTGGTGACGTGAGCCCAGGGCAGGAAGGACTGGCTGGAGCCCACCCCGACGGCCGTCTGCAGGCCGCCGCCCTGGCGCGGAGGCCTCCAGGGGCTGCTCCTCAGTCTGGGTCAGAGGCAGAGTCCTGGGACCCCCCAGGAATGCTGGCAGGTGGGGTGAACCTGGATTTAAAAGGTGTGCGGGGGAGACGCCGCCCCTCTCGGCGGACTCCTGGGCCCCAGCGCGTCTCTGTCCTCGCAGGCCCCTGACCTAGCAGGATGGTCACTACAGGACCCCACATCCAGTCCTCAGGACGGCTGACAGCTCTATCCAGGGTCTGCAGAATTCCTTGTCATAAATATAGTGACATGGGACATAGATGGGGACCCATTTGGCAAGCGAGGACACCACGGTTCCTGGGAAAAGTGAGCCCCCAGGAGCCAGGCTTGGGCCCCACTCTGGCCCACTGGGGTCCTCCCTGAGCCTCAGTCCTCAGACCAAGACCAGTCCCCTCAGGGCCCAGCACCGCTGGCCAGGGAACTGTGGAGCGGCCTTGGCAGGTGCCCGGTACAGGCCGGGCCTTCCTCTAGCCAGCACTCCTCGGTCACAGAGGGACGCGATGGCCAGGCCGCTCACCAGGCTGCCACGTGGCGGGTCCAGGTGCCTCAGTAGCTGGGGCCCAGGAGTCCGCCGAGAGGGGCGGCGTCTCCCCCGCACACCTTTTAAATCCTTTAGTGTGCGATCCTTATCTTCTTAAGGAGAAGGAAGACGGAGGGGGATGAAGAGGGGACGGAGCAGAGGCAGGCCGGATCTGCAGACAGCCTTGGGGACTGGCGGGCAGGCCCGGGCGTGGCCCCCGGGGAGCGCTGTCCCTGGAGTGGGATGGGTCTGGCCATCACGGGCGGGTGTGTGTGACTGTGGATGGTGAAATGCCACGGAAGGAGTTGGCATCCGAGCTGTCTCTCAAATATGAAAAGAAAACATTGATTT